GTAGAATTGATTGCTTATAGGAATAATTGTGATTCATTTTGAAATTGGAATTCATTTGAGAAATTTGATCTCTATAATTGATCAAAAGTCGTCGAATACTGTCAAGTTTCGAATAATGACCATGAAAATTTTTGTGACCAGTGCTAAGACACCCTAGTTCAGTTTGTTTTAGGCGATAGTTCGGGTTCAACATGGAAGATAACGTGATCGATTGTAGCGGCTTTTGGGTGCTAATTGATGGATTGCTTCTACCACAAAATTTTCGGAACTTGAATGTATTTAGTTTATCGATTGATTCGACTTCATATTTATGTATAGTGCGAAACAAAATTACTCGTCTTAAATAACTTTCAATCTAATACGTAAATGGTTTAAGTCTTAAGCCTTAATTTTTTTTTGTTTTGTTCGAGGACATAATCTTGTTCGTGCTAATTAATTTATACAAACGACATTTTAAGTTACAAAACCAGAAAAAAAACGATTTTTTTTTCTCCGATGGATTTGAATTTTTGATCCTCAAAATATGGAAGGTAGTCAATATTTTAAAAGTTTTCCAGCCTAAAAATATTGCCAAATTTGTTTAGGCAGGAGAGCGATTGAATGTTTGGATATCTCTGAACTAAGCTTTTTGAGTATTTCGCTATATTTGAAGAACTTTTTTAAGCGAATCATGAAGTTTTTGCACACTATTATAAGATTCGTTTATCCAAAGATAATTCTATGCAAAAAATAACTTTAAATAAATATGATTTCTTATTTTATTTACTAATTGCCGAAAACACTTTGCATTGCAAAATATAGAAATTTTTTTCATAATTTTTAAGAAAGTAATTTAAAGGTAAAATGAGAAATTTGAATGAAATCGGACTAATAGTTTCTAGGTAGTCCAATTCTAAAAAAAGTTATTTATGTAAAATTTGATTTCTGAAGAACACTTCGATTGATTTCATTCAAATTTAAAATTTTTGATTTGCTTTAAGAGTTATACAAGGCAAAATTTGCAAAAAGGAATTTCAACATTAAGTGATTCAAACTTTCTACCGCTCTCCTTCATAAACTGTTGATACCATATTTTGCAGATGGCAGGTGCTTCTCCTGTTTTAAGGGTCTAGGAACTGAATCCCTCATAAAGTTAGACATTCAAACCAGTAAGATCGAGTGTGCACATTAAAATCCGATCAATAGATAAAATAGTTTCAGGGTTTTCCCTTTTTTTGCGCCCTGTTTATACATAAGTGCATACTTCGTTATTACATAGCGCATGAATACGTGCGTACTTATATTGAACATATATCAATTGTGTATGTACGTAGAAACGTACGGGCGTACAAATATACCCACATTTACATAGATACATACATACATTATATATCCATATAAAGTATGTGTGTATCTACATATATGTGAATTAACGTACATAAGATTATGCATACTTACATGCACTACTTAAAGTATATATACGTATGTATGATACGCAAAAAATAAATGGACCATTCTAAATAACTTTTCATTTAATGATCGTATCTTCACATTCAAGGACTCAATCTTAAAGGTTCGAGAGGATGACATATATGCTAATTAATTAGTGCCCGCGATATTTTAAGTTACGAAATCAGACGCAAAAACATACTTTCTCTGAACAAACATACATTTTTTATGGTGTTTCTTGGGTTTTTGACTCTCAAATTATAGGGGTGGCCGCAATCTGGAAAAAAATACTCCCAATAGTTATAGTCAGAAGAGTGGTTCAAAGTTTGAACCCCTTAATGTTAATATTCGCGATCGCAACACTCGAATACGCTATCTGCGGAGAGACCGGTTTCATGCCTTTAGCCCTTCTCCCTTCCCTCTCCTCCTCTTTTCAGTTTTATAGGAATGTACTACGATATTTTCCCTTTTCTTAATATTTTTCCTTTTTACTTAATAAAAATATTTTCTAAAATTTCCGTGATACTTTTCTTTGGAACTATGTTTAATGTAGTTTTCAGTTCCATATAGTTTTTTAAGTTAAAAAATTTTAATCTATATGAAAATCAAGAGAGAAACTAACGTACTTCCTTCCTCTATGACTTTCCACACGCTAATGGAGAAAGCATGTGAAGTGTTGCCATAGGAAAGGAGTTCTGCTCTACGCCACCTGCAGCCCATTTCGATCGCCAATTTTTTACGTATGAGACCACATCTTGAGAGCATCTTAAATGAATTGAAAATTTTTTTGCACTCAGTTTAAAAATTCGTTTGTTCAAAGCTAATTCCATGCAAAATATAAATTTTAGTCAAAATAATTATTTTTTATTATTTTATTCAATGATAGTCTAAAAAATTTTGAATTTAAGATTAACAATCTTAAATGGCAAAGTGCAAAATTTGAACGAAATCAATCGCATAGCTCCTAAAAATGCGACTTCTTCAAAATTCAATTTTTCAGGAACTATTCGATCCATTTTACTCAAATGTTGTATTTTGCCATTTAAAATTTCCTTCTTTAAAATGTTATAAAAAATTGTTAACTTTAATAATCAAAAATTTTTCGGCTATTATAAAATAAAATTTTAAAAAGGTGAATATTTACTAAAAGTTATATTTTGCAAAGAATTATCTTTGGATAAACGAAATTTATATTTGTATGCAAAATTATTTTAATTAGTTTTAAAAGTTCTCAAGACATGGTGAATTACGCAGAAAGTAAAATTAACATTAATGAGTCTAAGCTTTGGACAGAGACTTCACTATTGGGACGATTTATTTCGGATTGCGAATACCCGTTGGACGGTTCTTTTGACCAACCTATTATTGGGACCATATTTCCCAGAGTTCTATTTATTTTGTGTTTTCATTAATCAAATCGTTGAATTAAAAAAAAAATTCATATTAAACGATATTTTAACTTGTAAATCTCTAAGTTCTTACAGCAAGGTAAGTCAGACTGATAAAAAATTACTATTTTCCCCAAAATAATCAAGCAAAATTGATGGAAAGGAGAATTTTCCTCGGACTGAGAAGCTATAAGAAGTAAAATATAAAACGAATAATGAAACGCGCCGTCATACAATCGTGGGAGAGATGACATTGACATCACGTTCAGAATGACGTTTTAGCTGACGTACACTAGCAATAGTATTAAATTGCATTGTCAATGAAAATCTCATGACAAGGTAGATTTTAGCTGAGCATACGAAACGCTGCAAACGGAAACCGTATAATTATGTAGATTTAGGATGATTTTCATCTTAGAACTAGTGTTATTCAATTTTTTTTTCTTGAAAACCCTAAGACAACCTCGTTTTAGAATTGTTAGGTAGAAGGTTGTTTTCTAAGGCTTTGGATTAGGGTAATGTGCGTAGAATTCGCGATCGCAACACTTGAATACGCCATCTGGGGAGAGACCGGTTTCATGCTTTTAGCCCTTCCCTCTCCTCCTCTTTTCAGTTGTATAGGAATGTACTACGATATTTTCCCTTTTCTTAATATTTTTCCTTTTTATTTAATAAGAATATTTTTTAAAATTTCCATAATACTTTTCTTTAGAACTATGTTTAATGTAGTTTTCAGTTCCATATAGTTTTTCAAGTTAAAAGATTTCAATCTATATGAAAATCAAGAGAGAAACTAACGTACTTCCTTCCTCTATGACTTTCCACACGCTAATGGGGAAATCATGTGAAGTGTTGCCATAGGAAAAGAATTCTGCTCTACTCCACCTGCAGCCCATTTCGATCGCCAATAGAGCAGATTGTCGCAGACTTCGTTTTAAGGTTAGAAGGTTTACACGTAAACCGTGTAAAAATCCTTTTTAGGCTTACATGAAAATGTTTTTGTTGGGTGAAAAAAACCTTATATTGCTATCTGGAATTTGAACAGTGGTACTACAAACCACTCGAGACCTGCCCGATTTGCTTGGAAGAGATGGCGGAGATCCCTCACAGGACGCATTGCCAGCATGAGTACCACGAGCAATGTCTGGTCGATTTGATGCGCACCAGTCAAAAGACTTGCCCCATGTGCCGAGAAGCCGTCTACATTGAACTCTATGTCAAAAGCGATTTCTTTTAAAATGGACACGAGACGAACATTGGGTGTTTGGGTGTGGACCTCTTGGGCACACACATTGAAATAAATTTTTTGTTTGAAATGGCTTCTGCGGAGGCTCCCTGGTTTTGTTTGTCACCAACATTGGGTGTGGATCTCTTGGGCACGCACACACTGAAATCAATTTTTGCCTGAAGTGGCTTCTGCGGAGGCTCTTCGCTTTTTTTTTTTTTTTTTTTTTTTTTTTTTTTTTTTTTTTTTTTGTCATGTTTACTGGCCAATGTTGGGCATGGGGACGTTTGTCATTTCATCGTCGCGCATTTCTAGTTAACAAAATACTGCGTCACGACAGGGCAGTGAGAACGTTTCGAAAAAAACAAAAACTGGGTCCAGGAGTTAGGACAGAACAAACGGTGCTTAGCTATTTTTTCGAATGACTGTATGCTCGTTTAGGGCAATTACATTCTCACTCTATGTGGTTCACGCATTTCCAATCACTGTTAAAGAAGAATGAAAATCTAAATGGTGAAAATATCTTTTTGTGAAAAATCGACCAATCAGATTCTCTTATTTTTTTCAATGGCGTTCTGAAGTATCTGTAATAAGTAATAAGATTTTAAGTAATAAGATTAAGTAGTAAGAAAACGCAGAGCTATAAGCGATAAGCAGAGAGCTCGCCGCTCTTAACTATACTCAAGTAATAAGATTTTAAAAGTTTACCATCTGATTGATTTATTGAAATTACATACATTTGCTGACTTGTGTGCTCAATATATAGGCTTATAAGTCATTGTCAAGTAGAAAATACAGATAGAACAATTCAGAGAAAGACATCACAAAGAATACATCCAGGGTTACGGCGGGATTCGAACCCGCTACCTCCACGCTTAACAGAGCGTTTGGACCAGCGATACCGCTCGGCCAGGGAGGCCCCTTTACCATCTGATTAAAAGGAAATAAGTTCAACAGAAATAGGCAACCAGTAGCGTATTGTACAAATATGCTATTAGGGGTGGAATGGCCAGGAAACAAAAACAATAATTAATATCGAAAAAGCAGTTTTCTTCAGTATAAATTCTACGCTATATGATTAAATTTCCTTCACAATTGTTTAAAATTACCAATAATGGCTGAGGAAGTGCTATTTGACTTGCTGCATTTAGAATTGGTGTCTCTTTTTACGTCGTTTAGTGATGATAGCAAAGAATTTGATGCTTCAAAACTCGAAGCTATCGGGTATTGCACTGGTTATCGTTTAGTGGAAAGGTTAACAAAAGATTGGGCCCGATTTAAAGATGAATTAGACATCATGAAATTCATTTGTAAAGATTTTTGGTCTAATGTCTTTAAGAAAGAAATTAATAATCTTCGCACTAATAATCAAGGTGTGTATGTTCTTCAAGATAATTCCTTCAGATTTCTTTCCAGAGTTACGCATAGTGATCAGTTTTTGAGTGCAACTCCAAAGTATTTAGCTTTCACCTGTGGACTTGTACGTGGAGCTTTAATGAATTTGGGCATAGTATCTGTTGTAACAGCTGATGTATCCACACCACCTAACTGTAAGTTTCAAGTAATAGCTCATCGAATGTAATTACTTACTTTTCGTTGTAGTAATTAGTATAATTCAATGTATATATTATTAAAAATATTTAAAAACAGTCTTTGCTTCAATCTTGCTAACATCAAATTTGTAGTGTATCTACCACTACAAAAAAAAAATGTAATTTCAATTCACTAGTATATAAGTAATGTTAACTCGATTCTATGTCGGGGTACCTTTTCATAGATGAAGGTTGATATTGTCCATTATTACCTACTATCCTTACATTGGTAACCTTTGGACGTAATATAAACACGCCTACGTCGGCAGAAACGCCCACTACGATTTGAACACGGGTACTTCGATTGATGGTTCACATTGAACAGTTGACTTGCTACTTGTGACTACGACATTATCCTCCTCCACGTGCTATTGCTATTCAGTTTCGATCACATACAATGTACAACGTATTCACTCGACTGTTAATGGCAACACAGGGGCGATTGCGAACTTAATACAGCTCTCCCGGCTTCTCACTAAACAGCGATGAATCAACTAGTGGTATTCGTTCATAGAATTCTATCACAGATATAATTCTGGTGAGGGGGGGGGGAGTACTGTAGTGTATCTACCACTACAGAAATGTAATTCCAATTCTCTAGTATATAGGACATGTTAACTCGATTCTTTGGTGGGGTACTTTTTCATAGATGAAGGTTGACTTTGAAGATTACTCACCCCCACAAATTCAATTCTGATGTTTAATAATTATTAGTTATATTAGAGGATACTTTTGAATTTGAAGAAATTAATTGAATGTAGTTGTTATGGTTTACTCGAGGTTGGCTATGAGTTATACCTTTCAAGTTGCTTTGATGTGTTTTTTAGTTACTTGAGTGCAACTGACTATTTTGGCATACATACTGATTTGGAAATATTTCATTGAACTCAAATATTCATCTTTTAATAGTAATCTTGCTATTTCTAGTGTTTGGTAGGATACAGGGGTGCAAACGACCCGGGTTCTTCCTGAAAAACCGAACCCGGGTGGGTTTTTCATGCTTTATATGGTTTTCTTTTTCAAAAGAAAGGGCAGGAATAAGTAACTTATTTTAAAAAAGCTTATATTAATAATTAAGTTTAATTCTATGAATTGACTTAACATATAGGTAGTTAAGGTGTAATTAATAATTAATACACATAAATTGGTGCAAAAGTCTGAAAAAAGTTTCTTCTGACATCACGATACAAAATGTTATCTGTACACACATACATCACACATTTGAAACTTGTTTTAACACTGGATTACTTTTTATTTATATTTTGATCTTTAAAAAAATTTGAGGAAATTTATTTTTGCATAGAAAGCGAATCAAAGGTGACTCTCCCTCCAGATTGTTTTTCTTTTCAGATTGTTTTTAGTTTTTTCCCCATATGTTCAATTTCTTAGGCTAGACTACATATATATTTCAATAGAATAGCTCTTTAATATACCAGAGAATAAAATAGAAATCAATTTTAGAAAAACCCAGTAAAACCCGCTCTGGTTTTACTGGGTAGGTGGGTTTTCTGCAACCCCTGAGGCAGAAGTTTTTTGAGCTATCTGAGACCAAATTCTAGTCCTTATATTTTTCTGCAAGATACTTTTAATAATAACAAACATATAGTACGTTATTAATTTAAAATAGCAAAAACGCTGTGTTTACAACAACAACAAAAAACTATTATATAGTTTTTTTACTTGAACATGAAAATATTTTTTGAGAGGTGATATTCACGCATTTCATTTTACAGAAAACTCACTACTATGGAGAAATCAATAGCAATAACTGCCAAAAATTTGATAGAATCACTCCCTTAAAAAGTAAATACTCAAATGCACGATTCGGATTTTCCATATTGTTTGAAATATATCGGGATATTTAAAAACCAGTCGAAAATTAATATCAGTAACTGCCGAAAATTACATCGATTTACGATACTATCGGCGTAAAAAGTTATTATCTAAATGCATCATTCAAATGTTACGTGTAAATTTCTATAGAAAAGAAAAGTGCCTTTTCTACAAGAAAAGAAGGAATTTTTTACTTTTCAAAAGAAAAATCTTTCTGCAAGAGCTCTGTAAGGTTCTGCGACAATGTCGCCGTGTCGCTGCTATTCTGCCACGGGGTCTGCAACTGTGGTAGGATACGAATGTCCCAAATGCAAAAAGCTAATAACGAATATCATTCCCTTTACTTCTTCATACCTCTGCAAAGTAGAATTTTTAGAAGTTGCATCTGTAAAGAGCTAATAATATTTATCAAAAATAAGAATAGAGAAAGTTTTCTTTCAATAGATAGAAAGTTATGTAATGAGTAGTAAGCTGAACCATTACTTTAAATTAATTCACTATGCATTTGAGTGTGGATGATAATTTTTCATTTATTAAATTTTTGTTTATATTAATACTTAAAATATGTCATATTATTAATCTTCTTATTACTAACAAAAGTATTTAGTAAGTTATAGTAAACAGAAAGTAAATAACTAGAAAAGTAAGTGATGAAAATACTTAATATTTTCTTTATATTCTCACCAGAGTTGATAAGATTTTGACAATTTTATCCAGTTTCAACCATTGTGTCAAAAACCTCTTTTTAACATTTCCTCGTTACAAATTATTATTATTTTTTTTAACCATTGAAAATAGAAATACAAAAACAAGCATCTTACAAATAAACACTTAATCATCATCTTATTCAATTAAATAATAATTCCAAAAAACTGAAGCAGTAAGGTATTACCTGATTAAAAATGAATTCGCATCAGAAATTAACAAAAATGAAATAACAGGCGACATATCTCAAGCACTTCAAAAATATATGCCAATTTTTCCATCGGGTAGCATCATCTTAGTCGTTATAAGTTATATCAATTTCCATTTATTCCTATTTTTACTCTTCCTTTCCCTCCGAAGCATGTGATTACAAAATACTAGTTTTAAAGCCCTCTGCACTCCCAGTTCAATTTTCAGTTTTGTATGAATAAGACAGAAATTTGAAACCATTCTACAGATTTGATGCTCAGCTGCATAGACTAGAATGTAGACACACTAAAACTATTATAAAATAATATGATTAGGAAATTTATTCTAATAACTAGGGTTCACGCCAGTATGGCGACAATTGTCACCAAATGTTCTACAAATGTCGCTAAAACTATACTTGTAGGCGACAAAATTGTTTTGAAATATGTTTCAAAGTTACAAAATAGTTACAAAAAATAGGTATTTTTTTACATTGAATGCTATCTATGTAAAAAATTTTACTAATTTTATTGTTCTATGTGTAGGTTAGATTTAGTTTTAAAATTTTTCAAATGGAATTATTAAAAGTGTCTGGTACAAATTTAATTTTCATGTTGTGCTATGCTATCTACTGACAATATAATTGTTCATCAATAAAACATTGTTTTTCATTCTTTTAGAATTGACTTCATTTGGAATTTTATAAATTTTAGATAATTAATTCATATATTTTGTTAGTTCTTACATTCTCTGTTTTCTTCATATATTTAGTCTAAGCATTTTAATCTATATGTTGAATCTGTTTACTAATGTAATTTTAGCTTTTATTTCCCTTTAATTTTATTTAGTACTAATCTTTAATCATTATAGGGTAATAGACCTAATTAGTTTTAGGATGTAATGAATGGCAGTAACTAATTTTTGATGTGTACCATAACAATGATTACGTAATTTGTAAAATTTGATTCCCCCCCCCTCAAGTTTGCCTACCATATTAAATTTTTGGACTGCTAAATGAATATCTAGGTGGTCTTATTGAACCACTAAATTTTTATTACTGTTGTGAACCCTACTAGTAACCATACTAAATAATGGTAGTAACTTAATTAAACCCTTGAATTTATTGATTGAAAAAAATTTATTCATTTTAACAAACTTTACAATTTTTTGTAAATTATAATTAGTTTACATATCAGGGAATATATTATAGTCATAATTTATTAGAAATATTCATATTGAATGTAGAAAATTCTGAATGCCTAATATTTTCTCAGAACAGTTTTCTTTTACTTGAAAATTCCTCAAAATCAAGAGTTTTTTTTCTTCTTTCAGTACATTAACTCTTTTTCAAAATATTTTTGGAAAGTAGGTAAAGTTTATTATATGAAAAAAATTCATTTAATTTGACACAATTATTGAATAAATAAGCATGTATTAAAATTAATAGAAGTATGTACTGAAATAAGGCATTCAATTAAATTTAAGGTTCCTCTTATAAACTTAAGGATTCAATCTAATAAATACAAATTGAATTGATCATTTTTTTAACAAGAAGCAATTTTACAAAGCTGCTAATTTTTTAACAATTAAAAATTTTATGGGAATTTTTCCATTTCTGCCTGAATTTCCTCCAATACCTCGTTTACATTATCAAATATTTTCTGCTCCCCTGCGTATAACTAATAACAAATATTGAGAATCAAAAATAAAATTTATGAGTTGAAATCAAACAGTAATTGGTGAACACTTTAGTTTTACTTAATCTAAAGAATCTGTCTAAATTGTGACATAAAAGAATTAAAATCAATATTTAGACTGATAATAATTAACTTATAGTTATTACCTGTCAAAGAGTAATAGCAAATCTTAAAAATACCATTGTTTTTAGAAAAAACAAGTTTAAATATTTTTTATATATTATATATATAATAAAAATATTGTGCTCAATTTAATACGTAATAAAATGTCCCAATGACAAAAAAAAAAAAAAACGAACCAGGCTCATGTTTTTGATTGCTTTTTTTCCTTTAACAATTTAATTTTCTACTAATCATCATTATTGGTCAGACAGCCCAATGTGGGCCAATGCCTTCCTCTGAAGATTTCTCCATCAGGACTTCTGATTTATCTTTTATCTCCAATTCTTTTCATTAATTGCAAGAAAATCAGACTCCATCGAGTCAGCCCATCTCAACCGCGGCCGTCCCTGCTTTCTTGTTCCAGTAGGTCTAAAAAGCAGTATCTACTTTCTACTATTTATATAAATTCTTTTAGTTTGAATTGAATCAAGTGAAAAAAATATATTATATTTTGTCATAAAAAATTTTCAT